CTGATATCACGGCGCTTCCTCTCAATGCTTGTTCGTTTGCTCGGTTCTTTTAAAATGCGTACGGCCTGCAGGGCTTGGGTTTGAAAACTCACTCACGTGCGAGGCAGGAGAGTTACAGGGAGTGAAAGGAAAATGCAGCATACGGCAAAAATCCCACGGAGGAGTGAGACAAGAAACCAGGGGCTGCGAGAAAGAGCCCGTGCGTGTGTTTCTTCAAGATGTGCTGAAAACGTACTGGGAGGAGCGTGTGGGCAGTTACCCTGAACAAACAGGTCTGCCTGGAGGTTTTACGGAGGGTTGGCAGCGATGGTGTCGAAAAGTGCCTGCCTCGGCAAACCTCTGCTGCTGCAGGTCGTGCGTCGAGAAATGTCCTTTTGTTCAGAGGGCAGGAGCAAAGACGTGCTTGGGGACTCCTTTGGGGTTACAGTGGGTATAGGAAATGGTTCTTGGTAGACACTGGGCCACCGATAATCTTAGCCTAGGACCTGTTTCCCGTGACGAGCCCAACTCCTCCTTGCCTGTGATTAGAGGGTACGCAGGTCTGAGGCGCTAGTTGCTGAAGGGACGGGTACGATTGTTTTTTAAGGGGGAGACAGACAAGATGTAAATGAATTTGCTGGTGTTTGCTCTGACAGTTGTTTGGCAGAACAATCGTGAAAGCTGTACCCAGCCTCAGGAACAGACACAAAGCGCTTCTCTCTCCTCCAGGCAGAGGCGAGCGGGAAGCGCTGCCCTCCCCGTGCGCCGCCGGCTGTCCCCGGGAAAGAGCACGGTCCATCCCTCGGGATGGAAATGCCAAACGACCATGTCTTGCCACCTTTGTGATCGTTCCTTTGCTTCTTCGTGATCGTTTCTTTCCTTCTTTCCACTGACTTCTGCATCGTAACGCGACATTTGCTTTGACCGGCTTCCTACGCGTGCTGTAGCGACACCGCTGTACGTGCATCGTTTACCGGCGTGTGTCTGCGTACGATGGGGGAGATGGAAAGGCGCGTGGATGCGTCCATCCGTATCCCGCAGGTTTCGTGTCGCAGGGTGGGTCCCAGCTCCCTGCCCGGCTCCCGATGGGGATGCACCTGGGTGGAGCAGTTCCTCTGATGGGCTGGCAGGGTCGGCTGCACCCGTGCGGTGGCTTTTACCACGGGTGCCAGGAGGTCCTGTCACTGCCGAACGAAAGGGGCGTGCAGATTTTTGGCCTGGAAGTCAGCAACCCAGCAGCCCATCTGACGTGGTAAGTTGGGGCGGCCCACGGAGAACCTGAACGGATGCAGGAGCAAAATGAAGCCTTCAGTCACTGTTAGGGAATCGCATACATCTATTCCCTCTAAATGAATGTTTTTCATTATCTGAAGCCGAAAGGGTTTTTTTGTTGTGGAAACATCGCTCTGTGCCATTTAATCAGTATTAATTAAGCGGCTGAAATGCATTAAATGGTGCTGTAGGAATCTTCTTGGGAACGCTAGCTGCTCGAGTTTTACTGTTCCTCTTACAACCGTAAATAAGGATAAATGCCTAACTGCTACTGAAAGAGTCCTGCTGGACCTAATGAGCTGATTAAAAACAATCCTTCATTGTGGAATTATTTAGTTTTATTTAACTTTTATTTCTATTTAACTTTATTTAGATTCCCCTTGCTTGCCATCTCTGCCTCGAAGAGTCCATGCCCGTGGTCATTTTGCAGGAGTGGGGCTACAGGAAAGGGATTTGTTTCCATTGTTATTCCGCAAGGTCTCATTTCATTAAGCTGTTGAGGAGGAAATTAATTTCAGGCCTTCCCTGGTGTTTTTTGTGCACCCAGGGGAAGTCCTCGGGCTCTGCTCAGCGTGCCCAGCCTGATGAAGGATGTGTGAAGGCAGGGTGAAGGGCAGCGGGGCTGGGGCAGGACATCACGCATGTTGTGGTTTGCAGGGATGCGGTTTTGGGAATTATGACAAAGAGCCGAGCTGTGGCCAAATCAGCCTGGGGGATCGGGGTGCTGGTTTCTGCTGCCTTGGCCTGGAGCGGGTTCTGGCTGACGGTTGCATCTCTGCAGCAAGAGGAGATATTTTCACATTATCCTTTGCCCTCCAGCGCTGCGAAGCCGTGGAGCTCTGAAGGGGGAGCCCGGAGCCTGGCTGGAGAAGACGTGAACGGATTACATGGCATGTGGTTCACGTTCCGCTAATGAGCGGAGCATGTCAGCAGCCTCGTCCGTCCGCTTTCTGCTGGCGGAGGGAGCCTGCGATAGGCAAACTCCCCCCTCCCGCCTCTCCTGGCCATGCCAATCGAAGCCAGCGGGAAACTTGTTGGTGCCGAGCAGATGGGAGCTCTGGCTCGCAGGCACGGGGGGAAGCAGGGATGCTCCGGGGCTGGGATGTGAGGATTCGCTAGCTCAGCTCACCACCATCTGTGGAAAGGAGCGATTTCCCCCACCTCAAGGCAGGGAGGAAGCAATGTACATGTCAAATTGACATGTGTGTGGAGAAATAGAAAATCAAAGTTTCTTCTGTATGGCTGTGAAGGCTTGCGGCTCCTCCGGGTTGGTACGCAGCCCGCGTTGCTGGCTTGGCATCCCCGCTGAGCTGTGAAGCGAGGAGGCAGCGCCTGCGGAGAAACCCTTCTCTAGTGGTACCATCCGCAGCACTGCTGGTGCTGGAGCAGGGCTCTGAAGAGATGGAGAAGGACCTACGAGAATTTTAAAAGCTGATTTTTTTTTCCCTTTCACTGCAGATTTTGAGTGGCTTACATACAAAGCACTCGGATACGTTTTCTGGGTTAATTATTGGCACGCGAGCGTTGTCTTTACATAAGGAGAAACCCAAGAGCGTGAAACTTGCAGCAGAGCAGGGCAGCGAGCCTGTAACAGCATACGGGCCGGGCATAGTTTCAGTGGCATCCTGTTCACCACGGGGCTGTTGGGATAATCGAGGCACGTTCGCCCCGTGGGTGCTGTGACCGTCGGCACCTCTTGGGAGAGGGTGTCACGGGGGGCTTGTCCCTGCTGGAAGGGGCGCCCGGGGCTCCCTGGGGCCAGGCTGGGCTCTGCTGGGCCACGCAAGCATCCCATACCCCTTGACTCTTCGCACCTCCTCTCGACTCCACCAACCCTTGGGGCGGTTGCTTACCTGCAGCACTGTCATTTGCAAATCTGGATTTGTTTGGGAAATGTTTGACAATGCAGCAAAATCGCCCTCTGCCTTTAAAATAGAACACAAAACCCACGCTGCCAGGATGCGGTCCTCTGCCCGTGTGTTTTCTCATGCAGGATGGCCTATGCACAGCAAGATGTTTCCTTCTGGAAACTTCTTTTTCTTTCAAGCTGATTTGTCCTGACTGATGCACAAGAATAAAAACTGTGGCTAATTTTTCTATGGAAAGTCCAAATCCCCTCCAAACCCCATCCTGGTCACCCAGCCCTCCGCTGGGGCAGGCACGGCTACCATGGAGTCCCAGCATCTGTATTTTCAGCCCCATTATGGGTGTCTCCATCATCCCCAGGTGTCCATCCTTTTTTTGTCCTTTTTTTGTCTTTCTTGCATTTAATTTTTTCCCTCCAGTGCCTGTTCAGAGAGAGAAGGGAGGCTACGAACTGAGCAGAGTTAAGGTTGCACATCCACCTTTCAGCTGCGCCCCGTGCTGTGTGGATATTTGGTTGGATTTTGCGAAGAGTCTCTAGTTGTAAAGGTTCTGTCCTGGGGTTACTCATGCTTTTGTCCAGAGAAAAACATATTTACAAAAGTATCTGATGCATGTGGAGAGAGGTCTGGGTCAAGGTCTGGGATGTGTTTCTCAACCCAGACGAACCGTTTGTGAGAACTGATGTTGCAGTAGGTCATCAGGGAAATGGAAAGCACCAACAAGTCTGAAAAACACTTCTGAACTCTGGATAAGTATTTGGGGAAAAAGGCATCGGAGTCCGCCTCACTGCTGTGTCTTGCCTGTAGCTGGAGGAAAGTGGAGCAGGGACGCGGCGTTTGTTGGCGCTCGGGTGCAGGCTCAATGCTGGATGAGAAATGCATTTAAGCAGTTAAATTCCTATTTGATGGCGTCACAATCTTGCAACTATTTGCATGAGATTTTGCTCTGTGTTGTGTTTTTACTGAACATTACGGGCCCAGATTTTGGATGGGGTTTGGGTCCAGCTGGCTCAGCGGCTTCCTGAGCATCCCCAGACTCAACCCTCCCGCCTCCACGGCTCTGGCCATCCCAGGACGTGGCTGCAGATATGAGGTTGAAGGGCTTGTGCAGCTCTTTGGGCAGCAATCAGATCTTTTCTGTGTTGCACAAGAGGGCCAGGAGCAACGATTAGGAAATGCTAAGTGTGGGAAGAAGAGGTCTCATCTACCCCTTTGCATGGGCCGTTTCGGATTGAGTCAGTCTCAGAAGTAGCTGAAGACATCAGACAGCTTCCCGACTCTTAGCGTCCCCAGATCAGCGCATTTGTGCCCCTCCCGCAGCTCCAACCCTCTGTGCTGGGGAGATGTCCCTGTCCCCAAGCGAGGAGCAGCCCTGACAATGTGGGCTGTGTTCTGCACGGCCGGGGGCTCACGGCACTGCCTGTCCCCGGGACCCACCTACACGCACAAGCACGGCGGCAAATTGTTCCTGATGCGCAGCGAGTCGCACCCACATCTGCCCCGAGACAAAGGGGCCCTGGAACAGCCCAGCGTTCGCTCTTCTAAAGGCGGGGATGCATTTTGTGCGTGCCCTGTCGTGGGTTTTATTCTTCGCTCTCGGTCGGTGCCACTTGGCGTGGACGTGCGGTCACCCGTGCCGTACGGGCCGTCCTCCCTGGCCGGTCCCACCGGCACTGGAAGCGCCTGGGTCGTTCCCACGGGGCTCTGCCCACGGTTTCAGTCCAGAGCCGCCATGTGCCTGCTGTTCCCTTTTGCAGCTCAAAAGTTATCTGCAAATTTCTCTCTTCCTGCTATGCACAGCCCTGACTTTTCTAGTCCCTGTGCACGTGATGATGGGTAGGATATACTTTTTTTCATCAGTTAGACCACCCAGATGCCTCCTGTGTATACCGCGTGTATCAGTGTTTGGGCTCAGTCCTTTCTGTATTCCCATTTAATGCAAAATCACCCTCATATGCATGCACGTACAAATATCTCCCAAGCATCTATGCCAGGAACCTACTCCTTAGTGTCGCAGCCATTTCTTTCACACTAACTAGTACTCAGTCTAAAGAAAATAACATATTCTTCACTTTTCGGGCTCCAAGCAGCATGTAGAGATGTGCGCTACTTAAATCCCTGCTGTCTTGCACCTCCCCTCCCATGCTACATCTGTGAATGAAGAGGGGTTTAAAGCATTTTGTGATAGTGATGTGAAGCATCGGTATATGAGCATAGTAAGGACACTAGAAATCATGGCCTCGCTAAATCTCTGGTTGCGGTATCGGCTGATTCAGTTCCTAAGTCAGACTTGTGCTTAGTAACAGAAAGGCATAAAACCAGCTGACCCATTACTCATTTTAAGCTGTAACTGGAG